GCGTATTAATTAATAGATTCTATCAGATTTGATATATTATGTCATTTAATTAGTTTGAGTCTTAATATGTGTAATGCATGCTATTGCGGTTCAACGTAATTTTATAAGGATATCATGTGTGGCATGTGCAGTTAAAGTAGAAGGAGGGAAGTGTAATTGTGTGGAAAGCACATTTACTGCGAGCTATAATAGAGAGTTTGGAATGGAGATGAGCAGGGTGCCATGTAAATCGCTTTGAAAGGAAGATTTTATAATGGAAAACACGCAAACATTAAGCAAACAAATCGGTTCTGGAATTTATGTGTAAGTTTTTATATATCAATTGTATTTGATCTAGTAATGTATTAATTGAATAGAAAGACAATAATAATTGATTACTAATGGATTCAATTTCTCTTTACCCACTGATTGCCAAAGGATAAAGGAAATAAATCAATAAGTGCATGACACAGTAGTTTTTTTGAAAAATTCTTTTAATTAATTTTGTTAATGCATTAAATACGAAGCGTGAAAATAAACGGATAAAAAAAATGAACAAAAAAACTAATTTATAGAAAAAATAGCACAATTTGTGTAAGAGGATTATAGGGTGAATTTGATTAGCTAGTAGTTTGATAGTAAAAAATATTTATTAACACAGCAAATGTACCTCATCCTCCTACTCTTGGTTTCTATATTCATTTACGTTTTAATATAATTTCTCTAGAATAGTTTTTGGAGTGATTGATTTGAAAGCTCGCTTTTATAAAGGCAATATAACGTACCGGAGAAACACTAGAAATAAAAAAAACGTTACCTTAATATCCATAAAGCTATTCATGTTGTGGTTCCGAAAATAACGTGCATAAAATATATCTAATCTTAGAGTAATCATTAACCGCACGTGACGGTACGCAGATCTTAGATAAGTTATTGAATAATCACGAAGCTTATGAGAAATACACAAATTGGTCAGTGAGATGGGCGGGACTGTACAGAAATCCCCCAGTTATCAAAGAGTAAAAGTGCCCAGATTCACTAACTCGAAAAAGGCTCAACTAGAACTAGAACTAGAACATAAAATATACTTGAGTTTGAGATTTCAACTAAATTTTTAATCCAACAAATTGTTCTCACCTTACCATTAAGCTTGAAATACAAAACCTTCCATATGTTATCCACAAGATGTCTTATAAAACTATTAAGACAATTCTCAATTACTTTTCGATTTATAATAGCACAGTCATAACTTAAAGGTTTTTTAGTTTCAAAGCATTAAGAGTGTGAAGAGTTAACCATATAAATACGATTCTTTTCGTAAATTTACAAAAATTACAAATTTTAACACTGACAAATTACAAATTTCATTATTAGACTTTGGTGGCCAATTCTGAACATCAAAATGTAAAATTACAATCGACTGCGTTACTCGTGGCACCAATCTGCTGAAACTACATGTCTTTCACATACGTAGTAACTTTTCACTGCTCCAGATGCTAGATACGACCAAGTAAAAAATTATGGTCATCCTATTAGAAAATTCAATGTAAAAATCTATAACCATTTTTCTATTGTAGTAAGTTTTCTAACGTTCAGCGGTTGCTAAACGAATTATATTGTAAAATGGATGAAAAAGCTTTGTTGGACATGTCATTTTTTTTTTGTTTTCAATTTATTTATTACAATTATTGTTTTTAGGATTTAATTTTACAATAAGAATATATTTTTGATAAGTAATATAAATGCATAGAAATATGTGCATGAACTATATCCAGTGACATATCTATATAAATTTACATATAATAGTGTAAACTGATCATTTATTTCAAGAAGGTTTATGGGAGTTTTTCTCTATGAAGGATTTCGAAGTTGATATCAGATCAATTGCAAGTGGATTAGGATGACTATTCGATTTGCATATTTCTTTGTAACTTTTTAAGTAGTTGGTAGTTTTTGGTAAATGTGATTAGTTATTGGTAATGTATCAGGAGGTATTTGCGATCAAACGAAGTGTTTTAATTTAAAATGTCTAATTATTACCAGATTTTAATTCAGGGCGATTCCCTATAGCTATAGTGTATCACTACAGTAGGGTTTTAGCATATTACGATTATTATAGTCATATTATTATATTATATTGCTTATAATATATAAGTGCTTATTTAGTATTTTTAGTGAACAATTCAGTATTTTGACTGAGAAAGTAAAATAAATTTCGTGGTTTGGTTTCTAGAACTTTACGTTTGTTGAAATTAGGAGCTCTCTAGGTCATTTTACTGTACAAGTAAATTCGTATACAAGTCAAGTAGTACTACCAATACAGGATCACGTACTGGATAACACCTTATATTAATTAGATTTTGCAGGCGTTTCATATTTTTCATTTCGAAATAGCGTATATTGGATAAAATAATAAAACACAACTAATTTTTAGATGAGATGAACAATAAGCAAACAATATTATATAAAATTCAAAATCTCTCGACATTCAAACAATTAAAATTAAATGGACAATGCGGCAGCAACTCAGACTTTCCAGTATATAACAACAAAATCTCAATAAGTCTATAAGTGTATAATACAATTTATAATTACAATTTAATTAAATTTAATTGAACTTATAATTTAATCTAGTCGATAATCTAGAGGAGAATATACTCGCTGTCATATTTTATCAACACAGTATGTATAATTTTAAATGATTAAAGTCATCGCAGTAAACTTAAAAAATTAATCAATATTATTTAATATATTTAAACTAAACTTTTTTTTTCATAACCAAATTATAGTTTTTTCTACAATACAACAAATTTTTGAAAAATAAATAAAATCAACATTTTTTGGTTATGTTCTCAACTATAGAATAATTAGATACAACCCTTTCATAAAAATTAAGAATTTTCATCAATGGAAAGCAAAAAATTTCGTAGTGGTAAGTGTTAACATATTTTTATAGAGAAAGAAACTATGAAAGAAACTATATAAGAAACTATTGAATTGTAATTTAATCAGTATAGAAATTTGATAGAAATAGAAAATTAGTTAATTGAAAGGTCTTATCAACACAAGCCTATCAGTGATATAGTGCCAACTTAAGTCCCATGGTATATTCCAAACCATATTAAAATTCCATGACATGATACTCTGTCACATTATATTGTCCCACATTTTAAAGAAGATAGCGGAGATTATATACCCTATTAGGAATTTGTTATGATTTTCATTTCAGTCCTGTTAAGAAAACCTGAATCTGAAGGTAAAAGTGCAATTCGCATGAAGTCACTGAAAACCAAATCTGGAGAATACGGCGGATGAGGAAGCAATTCGTACCGTAATTCGTAACGTATCAAATATGGGTGTTCGTTTTTTCATTATTTTTTCATCTCTCGACAGTCGATCCAATAACAAGCAATAGTAGTTCGATATTACTATTTTTTCTTTTTCCAAATAGTTTATGAAAATTATTCTACTAGAATTCCTTAATACGGAAGTCAAAACTCGTTTAGGATCACAACTCCTGGCTTGTTGTTTTCCCCCAGTTGAGTCCCTCAGTGAAATAATGGATCCATATTTCATTAATTGTTACTACTCGATCCCCAGAGCTAACTAGATTGTGCTTAAACATTTTCAAACAATGTTTTGAATGACGATGTCCTTGTCGTTTTCGTTTTTGGTCAATTGCGAGTAAACGCGGCACTTATCTTGCCGAAAGCGTTTTCATACTCAAATATTTATGTTAAATATTCTATACACTTTAATATGATATGTTTGTCGTCTATGTTATCTCATGCAATTCAATTTTTGGAACATCCAATAAGGTGTTTTTTTAAAAATATTTTTCAATTATAACTTCTTTTAGACGACCCGGACGCTCTTTATCAAAAACATATACAGACGTTTTACAGATCTATTTTGCTTCTAAACACTTCTTACTAGAACAACTATTTGTTATTGTATACATGGTAGGTAGGTTGGATTGGTGGTCTTGTATCCAAAAGCTCACTTGAGTTCAAATAATGGCCCATTATGGTACCACAGGTATAGCTTTGTTGCGCATTTACAGAATGACAGCTCATTCCGGTCAGTAAAAAAAGGCGCCCCAAAGATTTTTAATCTTCTTCAAGCTAAAGATGGGCACTGACACATAAGATGGTGCATTGTTTCCTCCTCATTCTCAGAGCCACAACCATGGCAAAAGTCATTAAAGGGTGGACCTAGTATCATAGCATGCCATCTTGTTTCAAAATGGTCCGTCAGCACAGATACCGTGGTATTAAGTTATTGAGGGAAACTAGGCAATTGTGAGTAATAATTGATTATTGTATATATGTGTAAAAGTGAAGCCTAGAACGTTTGATTGATTTGATTGTGCTACTCATATGAATCCTTGAAGTTTATTGCATTTTGCGAAACGTTGTATTATTATAACTTGAATATTTAAAGATTAGGTAACAATATATTCACGTGTTGAATCTTAAAAAATGTATAGGACTTGAAATATGAGTTAATAGTTTAGATTCTATGTATAGAATTTACAAAAGTAGATTTAGTAAATAGTTTTCAAACTGAATATTTTATTAAAACGATAATATATTATTATGTACATATAATAAACCTAGTTTTATTCAACTATTACAGAATCTAATGTACGTAAGCACCGTAGATGTACTTTGAGTCCTTGCAAGATATAATTCGATCTCTTAATGCAATAAATAGCTTTAAGGTATAAAAGCTGAAAAAGTACTTCAACTGAGAAAATTTCCAAATTCGGGTTTCTGAAATAGATTGATTTTCTTCCTTCCCTTGATTTCATTGCTTGGCTCGTGTTTTTGTTAAACTCTGAAGTTTATTAATATATTTGTTCTAATATATAACTATAATAGAATCAATGATGAAAAATGGTAGCAGGCGAAATTAGACGAATACTTTTAGAAAAAATCAATTATTAAAATGAAAAATATTTTCATTTATTTATATATATTTTTTTTACAAAGTATATACAAAATTTTAAAGCAATCATAATGTTTCACGACGAGGAACCACAAACTAAAGTTGCTTATATAGATTCTTTAGTAGAAACAACCAAAAATAAAAGTATGTGCGAATAAGAAATACTAATTAAATAAACTAATAATAATATTTTATTTGATATATTTTTGAAATGTTCCAGAAAAAATTAAACAGGTTCGCTTTAGTAATGTTGAGACATTTATATCCTCACCCAAGGAGAATGCGAAATTACCTGTAAACTGTAAGCCGGTATCAATTTTACGCAATTCTTCCACAAAATCCAAAGCCGCTTCTAGTGATTATTTTAATGATTTGCTTATCATTAAGCCAATTGACTTAACTGAAGAGAATATTAGAGTACCTGTGACATCAACTAAAACTCGCAATGAAATTGAAAAGGTAAAAAGTGTTTCTCAAAATAATGTAACTTCTACGTCTGGTCTAAAGTCAGCCGTTGATGACAAAGAAGTATCGATTTTATGGAATTCACCTTTTGCTGATGTGAAAAGTGGTGGTATTTACGTTAAAAATATTGAAACTGGTATTCCAGCTAAGTTGTCTGTTGAGAACATTACCGCCAACAGTGTTTCCAATAAGAATTTTGTAAATATCATTGCATTAAATTTGACACTATTTTTAGCTAAAAATCACATTTTTACAGATACCCCCCAAAAAAGATAATAAACTTTCCAACAAAACTACTGGGAACAAGAATTCTATGAGTTCTTCAATTAATTCTAGTCTTCGAGCTAAACCATCTATAAAAGAAATTTATGGTAAATACAATTCTGGTGGTAATAATCCTTTAATAAAATACGTTAGACCTAGAAGTAAACAGCAAATTCGTTTGCTCACAACTCAGATCATGGATGATTACAAAAGAAGTAAGAAACTTAAAGGTAAGCTCTCTCCCTTAGACACACCGCGCGTAAGGTACTCTCCACTTGCAGTTCCGAAAAAACCAAGTATACAGAACATGCATGCTGAAAATATGCTTAAACTTTTGGAACCTGTATCGGAAGAAATAAAATCGAAGTTAAAGCAATATCGCATTAGTGGAGGCGCAGAATCTGACGTTGCAGATACAATGAAAGAGGAACTTCACGTAGACATTACCATTACTGATTCCACCACTACTATTGGTGAACGGCAACCGCTTACATTAGCTTGTTCCGATGATGAAAATATGGATGAAGTACACAAAACACGAAATAGATCAAAATCAAAAGTTGGAAAAACCTCAGAGCCTACTTCTAAAGATACTGGCGGGAAATCAATTTATTTCGACCGTATATTTGAGCACTTGGATGCCATGGTTAATAAAAGTATATCAAATGCTAAAGCAATTGTTGCAGAAAATGATTACAAAGATGTTAAGAAGACAAAGAAGCAAAATAATAAGATTGAACAGAATAAAAAGATAAAAAGTAGAGTTTCTAAGTGTAAGCTAAATTTTTGATAACATTTGCTTGAATAGCTAGCTTATTTATTTTTTTTTCACAACATTAATAATTAGAATTCTTAATAAAATAATAATTTTTAGACGATAACTACAGATTGGGATTAAATAATGTAATGGCTGAACATAACGTTCCAGAAAGTAATGAAACAGATAAACCAACTGAAGGTGGTGCTGAATCTCTACTTTGTGGTATTAATAGTCCTAGAGAGTATATTGCTCAGATCAACGAAAAAACAAAACGCAATTATTT